GTAACTGTAACGGAATACAGTTACTCATATTTTGTATTTTAAATACGTAACGGCGGTACATGTATTCCATTACTCCCCAACACTGAATACACGTAAACGGTATTCTAATGTTTGAGCTCAAATTTAAGTTTAGTTTAAACTCCTTCAGATCAAATTATTCTTTAATCCCTGTTTCTAGGAGACAGATTTCTCTTCTAGCCGATGTTTTAATGTATTTCTGAATCAACAGAGTCTGCAAATGAATTTAAGTTCATTGGTGGCGTCTGACTATATAGAACTGCTTATTTTATGTAAAAAAAACATTTTTTTCTCAGTATGCAGCTGAACTGTGGCACCGACCCTGGGTTGGTGTTTACAGGGTCGATATATCTCTTGATGGCAACTGTGAATCCACGATATTCTCCTTTGTAGACCTCTGAGGTTGCTGTTTCCATGAAGGGCTTTTTGGGATGTTTGTACTTTAGCTCCTGTGGTTTAATCATTCGGATGTCCACACTAGTGATGCTGGGCTTATTCACTGTAAAAAGAAGAAAAAAACATGTCAGTAAATTATATAAATAATACATTTTATTTATTTATATAGCACCTTTCTAGACAGATTCACAAAGTGCTACACATAACAAATAATAAAAAGGTAAAACAGACAATATAAAACAGGCAAAAAAACCAAAACATTAACCATTCACAGGCCTGTTCAGCAGTTTGTTTGTTTTTGTTTGTTTTGTTTGCCCAAATGCATGGTGGTATGAGCCTTTTGGGAGTTTCCTCCAGTGATCAAAAATCCAGATTCCCAGTCGTTGTTTTTGTTTCTCTGCATCACAGACATTAAACTGCTGCAGTTTAGTCAGACACTGATAGATCCCAATGGCCAAAGTTAGTTATGGAAAAATTGTCCTGAATACAGGACAAGTTGTTAATTTGTGACACTTAAAATAGATGTGAAGTTTTTAATCACTCTTTTTAAAAGAGCTTAAATGGCTTTTTCATCTGAATATTTAATTTACTTATGAAGTAAATTAAATACTTCATAAGTATTTGTATTACTAGGAGTAAGGTGAACGGCAACTGTTCGATATTATATCGCAGATCTACATTCTGTCAGGGTCCTGGGTCTCATGACACAGCGTGTTTAGTTCTTCGTGGTTTTTGTATTATTGTACTTGTGAGTTATTCTATAGTTTCTAGTTTTGATCCCTTGCCCTTCATGTTTCTCTGTGCCCCCTCTGTTCTGTGTAAGTCTGTGTCTTTGCATGTTTGAGCTTCTTGTTTTCTGTCACTCTGTATTGTGCATTATGTTCTCATGGTTGGTCTTTTGTTACTCCCTCGAGTCTCCCTCGATGTCTCTGTGTTTCTTAGTTGCTGTCTCCACTGTGCCAAGTTCGAGTCTCTGTGTCATACTTCCTGTTTTACTTTGAAGGTCCGTGTCTTATGTGAATGTGTCCTGCTTTGCTTCCTTGTCTCGTCAGTCCTGATTTCTCCCAGCTGTGCCCTCCTTTGTCTCATTCCCCTCGTTACTTCCCAGTGTATTTAAACCATGTGTTTCTCTGAGTCAGTGTTGCGTTGTCTCACTCTCCCTGTGACTTTTAGTTCATTGTTTCCCAGTTTAGCTTAGTTTACTTTGTATGCTCGTTTTTCTGTGACCAGCAAATAAAGCTGTGATTTTGAGTTTATCCCCTGAGTCTGTGAGTCCTGCACTTTGAGTCTTCATCTCCTGCCTGCCACACAGCGTTTCATGACTGTCAAAGGACTATTGTTTTTATATAATGTGATCAGCTTCATGAAATATATTCTTTTATTGATCACTAAGCAAATGTCTACGTGACTTTTGACATGTACTTTTGTGTGATAAACAACTAATAGCTTCCTCTTTCTGTAAGAACATACAGAATTAGAAAAGGGGAACCTCAGCTCAGAGTTCTTAGAATAAGAAGCTATTCACACACACACACACAGACATACAGACAAGTATAAATAAAGAACGCAGACAGTGATGAGACGCAGGTCGTGCGTCCATGACTGCCCTCGCGAGTGAAAGGCAACTGCAGTGTTTGTGTTTTCTAACTCAGGTGTCTTAGCTGAAGAACTACGGGGTGGTTTAAAGAAATCCCCTGTCAATGACACATTCGGTCAGTCAGCTTTTTCTATAAAGGCTCGCCATCTGTGGAGCACACTTCCAACCGATATCAAATTGATTACAGACATTAGATCTTTTACATCAAAGGTTAAAGTGTGGTTAAAGGGAAATCAAAGATGTAGTCATTTTAACTAATGATTTTAATTTTATTTAAAATTATTGTCGAGTAACTGTAATTGTATTTATGATGTAATTTGGTTTTATTGTAAAATGTATCTATTTAGATTGTAAGAAGCCCAACAAGGGACAATTGTTGAAAATTAGCAGTAGCTATGAACCTATGTGCGGCACATCAGTTTCATGGCTTGCACTTGAACTATGTT